GGGGAGAGTTATATTATGCTTCTGCAAGTTGATACCCAACTTCTCAAATCTGGTATATTTGTTTAGTCTTGTAAAGACATAAATTGAAGTCTTAGCTAGTAGGGTGCTTTTGCTTTGTTTTTGGGATAGATACCACAATGATGGATGTACTCTTTCTAAGCCATCAAGGCTCTAAACTAGTAGTTAAGAATTTAAGAGATATTTCTTCTTCTTAATTATTTTGGTTTTATTAAATTTACAACGGAGTGGAAAGTAACAAATTAACTGAGAGAATGGGAAATTATCTGATATTTGGTCTCTGTGTACTTCATTTGTATTTTTTTCTATTATTTGTCTTTACACGTTTTTCTTTAAACAATTTAACCTATCACCTGATAAGGAGATGAAATTTACAGTACTACTTTTTTTTTTAAATTTTCAGGAGAAAATACGCCTAGTAGCAGAAACATCAGAACGAACTATCTTCCTGAATGATTCACTAGTATACTAGGGAGAATTCCAACATAAAAGTTATGAAAATTGAGGCCCTCTATCATATGTTGGTGTGAAATTGAACCTGATATCTTTTTTTTTTTTTTTTATCTCAATACTTGCATCTTGACTTCAGTAACCACCTGCTAAACAACAGAGCAAAATGACTATCAAAAATTATTATTATTATCAGGTTAATAAGCAATTGGCGCACAGTTGTGAGTGTTTTTTTTTTTGGTTGACGTGGGTACCAATAGAAAGTCGTTGGCTTTGTTAATGGTATTAAGGCGCGGATATTAAGATCCAATCCAATATAGTATTAATTAAAGATAAACCAACTCTCAATCATGTGAGGAACATTCATTAGTGGGCACAGTATGCTCTAAACCATCAATCTCTGAAGTCGGTCAAGTGTTAGAGCTTGCTCCATTCTCTGTGGTTTTCCTTTTTTTCTTTTTGGGCTCTTTGATTGTTTTCCTCTTTTATAAAGAAATTATTGGTAAAGTTTGTTGTCATGTGATCACGAGGTCACGAGTTCAAACTATGAAAATAATCTCTTGCAGAAATGAAGCGTAAGACTGCATATAATAAATTCTTGTAATCCGACCTTTCCCCAGACCCTGTGCATAGCGAGAGCTTAGTACATCGGACTGCATTTTTTATTATAAAGAAATTATGACACCATTTATTGGACCAAAAGAAACTATTGAAGCAAGTCACTTGAACAGATAAACATGCATTAATTGGGACCACAATACGTGAAATTGCTAAAAATGAGAAATTTCTGACAAACATTTTTAACAATTAAGATATGTGATTGAACGTATGGTATTCATTCATATATTAATCAGAGGTCTCTATTCGAACCCTAGAGTGAAGAAATTCGTGGTAATGAGTGTTTTCTCTTTTAGTAAGCCCTACACAAGCACCGATCTGAATTTTGTTTAACCAATAAGTTCTGAATACTTGATTTATAAAGCAAAAAGAAGAAAAGTGATGATAGGCTATAATTACATATTTTAGTCTCTTATTATACTCTAATGTACAGCATTTTAATTGAGTTTGAGCTTTAATCGCTACTGTTTTGCACTAATTGTGTATTTTATGCTTTGCAGGAGTAATTCCGAGCTATGTAGATATTATGAAATGAATTCAAGTGATTTGGAGCTTTGAAGTCTGAGTAAAAGCCCAGGGAATTAAGCCGGGATCGTGTTCGGGGATGAACGGATGATAGTTAAGAACGAAACGAAGAATCGAGCGGGCATACGGCGCATTATCTAGTCAAATGCACATAACTTTTAGCTCAGAACTCCGTTTGGGCTCCACAATATATCGTTGGAAAACTATTTAAAAGAGCTACAACTTTCATGTTTTACGTTTTCTCGATTTCCCACTACCGCGGCGCGTGGAGAGGCGCGGGACGCGCCGCCTGTGGAAAATTCCTGCAGCCTGTCAGAATCAGCTCTCTTAACTTCCCCACAAGCACACCGCGTGGCGCGCCTGTGCAATTTTATAGAACCAGAGTCCTATTTCGCGCAGGAAAAGGTGTTTCGTCTGGGCCTGACCCTATTTCGTATAAATACATGTAAAAATGCTATTTTGAGGGAGGACAGATTTTTTGACATAATCTAGACCTAAGGAGGCTAGGGAGACCGACATTAGACCGGGGATTCGACATAAGGAGGCAAGAACACACTAGGAGCAAGGCGGATAATTCTTCTACGAGTTTTTCACTTCCTTCTTCCTATTTTCATTATTGGTTATGAATTCTAGTATTGTAGTTATGCATACTATTATGAATAGCTAATTGTTATCTAGGGTTTTGATGGAGCCTATTGGAGGATGATTTTCCTGTTACGTTTGTATTGGAAAAAAAAAACTGAATTTATAATTGAAGATGACGTGGCATGACACGTAGACTGGTCAAATGGTCAAAACATGATGAGCAATTAAGAGGCACGGGAGATATCAGATACGAGGAGAAGAAAGTTAAATAGGCACAAGATGCTATTCAAATGATACGAGTCTCGTATCTATTTAACTTAATTAAAGCCAGGAGGTCAGAAGGAATTGAAGATATGAATCTGATGGCATAAAGGAGTCTAAATTCAGTATTAAATGTCAAATACGTTAGCGAATCAGTATTGATTAGGAATGATTGTGTAACGTTTCATTTAATGTCATTTAATGCTCATAATTGCCTCTTTAAGGCTAAGGCATTATACCTTTTCCTAGAAAAATCAACTATAAAAGGAGGAGGTCTCAGCATTTGTAAACACACAAAATATCATTGAGATTACATTGAAATACGAACTTATTTACTGCTTTATTATCTTCAAAAATTTCTTATTCTTTTCGTCTCCTGATTATTAGTAACCCGATTTTTCTTCTTAATTTCTAGTTTAATCGAAATTCTATTTTTTTGGTTAAACAAATTGGTTCCGTTACCGGAAATCTGATAATCAAGCATATCTCAGCATATCTCAATCTAATTTTCTTGATTGCACCAATCATGTCGAACAATAATGACAACACTCAAGGAAAGCTAGAAATTCAGACAGTCCAACAACTTCAGGGAGATTCCCCACAAGGATCTCCACAAGATTCTCCACGAGGCTCCCCATGCCGATCTCGTGAAGGCACTCCTGATGGATCTTATACAGATGGACAGGCTCAATTCGAAAACGTTGAAACCATGAATGAGGCTCTGCAAAAACTTATTGTCTCTCAAGTCAATAACGCTCTCCAAGCTTTTGTTCGCCAATTGCCTGCTGTCCCACCCACATCTGCTCCAAACAACAACACTTTGGAGAATCCTCGTTCAGGATTGATTAATTCTGGCAGCGGTGGAACCCCTAGTGAAACACAAGAGAGAGACCCAGGTAATCCAGTTAATTCTGATTTACAAAGTCTAGTACTAACTTTGCAGAAACAGCTTAAGGAGCAAAATGAACGCATAGAGCAAATACCTGGAGTACCGCCCGTGATCAAGGGTGTGGATATAGATAAATATTCCCAACAACCATGGAAGCCAAGCGCTGCTCCCCTTCCAATTCCAAAGAAGTTTAAGATGCCTAATATTCCAAATATGATGGTACATCAGACCCACGAGATCACGTTACTGCATTCACAACAGGTGTCAAGGGCAATGATTTGACTAAGCAAGAAATNCAGCTCACCTTTGTGTTAAACTTTTCCTCAAGAAGCTCTAATCCTTTTCCCACGAGGCAAGATCGTTTTTTAACATTTGATTTTTAGCCAAAGTGGAGTCAAGGGTAGCTTCAAGGGAGGCACGAGATTCTCTAAGGCACGAACCTTATCAGAGGAAATTTGCAAATCAGCCTGAGCCTGAGACAAGTTTTGAACTAGCTCTCCCGCGTACTCTTCTTTCTTTCCCAACAATACCTTAAGTTCTCTAATCTCTTCGCTTGACTTTGATAATTGTTCTGAAAAAGAACATTCAAGGCGTTCTTTATCCTTCTCAGCTTTACTAGAAGAAGCCTTGGCCGCTGCTAATTCAGAAGTCAGAATTTGCTTTTGCTGTTCCAGGTCACGTTTATTCTCTTGCAATTCTTTTATCTTTTTCTGAGCATTTTTAAACTGCTCTCTCCAATTGGTTGCCTCAAGCTGGGCTTCTCTAGCTATCCTCTCAGCCTCAAGAAAAGTCTGATCAGACTCGCGAGCCTTCTTTTCTAAGAGGGAAATTCTTCCCATCAATTCCGTACCAATGAGGTTAGCCTACAAAAACAACTCATGAAAGTTAGAATTAAAAATAAAGGAATTTATTAAAGAGTAAAGGGAGAGTACCTTCAATGTACAGTGAACTATATCATTCATCAAAGTTAGACAATTGTGACTGTCCATCTTCTTTTTCTCAATATCCCCAATTAAGGGTTCAAGCCAAACATCTGCTCTGCCAGACTTCCTTAAAAGACTGCTATTAGCAGGAACCTCAAGTGTTACACTCCTCATAGCCATGCTTCTGCTACTAGAACCCTCTTCTGCATAATGAGCAGAGGAAGGGGGAACTATAGAAGGAGGAACGGTAGAAGAGGTGAAAATAGTAGTAGTGGAAGGAGTCGAGGCAGGTAAGGGAGCAGAAATTGACAAGAGGCAGGAACAGACAAAGTGGGTAAGAAAACACTTGAAATTAGAGGAGGAGGAACGGAAAGAACAGGAACGGAAGATGAAAGAGGAATTTCATCTAAAACCGGACCTAATTCACCACTTTCGAAGCCCTCAATAAAGAGGCGATGGGTGGATTCAGGGGAGTCCCTTGGAATGGTTTCTTCATCGGAGGTAATAGTAACGGGTTCGGAGATACGAGCGGGAGAGATTTCAGTTTCATCCTCAGAAACAATGCGCCTCCTGGTTCTAGGACGAGCTGTCAAAGAGGTATCTTCATCTTCATCAACGTCAGAATCCTCTTCAACCACTTTTCTCTTTGACAGCGTGGCTTGTGTTCTTTCCAAA